ATTTTCTATTTATAATCTATAATAAATAAAATATTATAGTTAATAGGAAAATAGGTAAATTGGTTGCACAGGAAGATACAGTGGGTGCTTATACTTTGGTAAGCTGAAAAAAGATCAGTTTTTGTTCCCACAGGATTGCACAAAATAAGGATGCAAGCAGGTATAACATAACGAAAGGGCAAAGACTGGACCACTCTGTGCTGTGAAGGGATGAGTGCAATCAGAAATATTTCATAGTACTTATTGCTTTGCAACTACCACTTAACAGGCAAATACGGGCAAATACACAGGGTATGTGTTACTGTGACTGATGTTTCCCTGAACATGGGCTGAACATTAGTATTTAGGAGAGAGTCTTAGATTATGGGCTGCAGTGATCCAGTCCAGAAATAGGGAAAGTATTGAAGAGCAGTTCAAGACTCACATCTTGGAAATGAAACAAAGGACTCAGCCAGCTGTTGTCACAGTGGCTACAGACTCAAGACAAAACTTTTTGCTAAAGAATATGCATATAAGGCTCCATGGAGGCAGAAAACCATTTTACTGGATTCTTCAACTGCATCAGACTTGAATAGATTTTTAATGTTGTACTGGTGATAAACAAGCAAAATTTCATGCATGTTACCATGCATTTCCATATTTTTTTTCTACTGTCTGATCATTCCTTTAACTATAACTGTGTTACAGCTGTATGGCATTTTCTCAAGCTGGTTTGGGTTGCATTTATTTGTACAAGAACTGCAAAATGGCCTTAAAGAGAGAGACCAGTGAGCTGCATTCTGGGTGCAGGCATTCTCGGAGGGTAGATGAGTTAGCTTTGTTTCCTTCTTCATCAACTGACTTCACAGCTATGGTGGTCCTACCAAGCAGAGATGGAGGAGGAGGGACCTGTGGGATGGTACACAGGCAATGTAACCTCCACAGACAGGCATGGTTTACCGTGAGAGATGAGATGGAACAATGGCAGCTCCCTATAAGCTGCCTTCCTAGCTTGAGAGCTCCACTTGCATAGACGGTGTTGAAATTTCAGTCTCCTCTTATCACCACTGTCTCTTCTCTGACCTGAACAGGCAAGCCCTTCATGTCCGTCCATGCCACTGATGCAGATGATCCTTCAACTCCCCACGCACAGCTGACCTACAGCATTCTCCATCATTTCCCCAATCCTTACACAGAAATGCTTTTCCAGATCGATAACGTAACAGGCGCAATCTCACCAAGTAAGGCAGGTGTGTAAAAAGATTCTTATTTGTCAAAAAGCAAGCACGAGTTCTTGGATGTACCCAGGAACAAAACAACATCACAGCTTTTGGGTTAAATTCTGAAGAAAGGTAGTCAGTGGGACATGATCCACTGAGGCCCTGTTTTTGGGGAACTTTGTGCACCAGCAAATTCAAGGGAAGTTAGCAGAAATGGAGATGCTGATCTAAAAGTACATTGAGAAGGGAGGTGGATCCTTTGCTCCTCAGGACCATGCTGAGTCATCTCTTGGGATTAATTCTTTCTTGAAATCTAGAAAACCAAAGCCACTAACAGGAAAAATGCAGAGCCAACTCAGCTGGTCACATGATCCCAACTAAACTGCAATGTTTAAAATTCCTGTGTCTTCTGCTGGGCTGAACAAGTCCCTCACTGGAGTGAGGACTGTTCAGTGATGCATCTGCACAACATGAGACCACAGCACAGCGGTCTCATACGATTACATCCACATGATCCTGTGCTGCATTGTTCAGAGAAGCCAGAGGAGACAACTTGCTGAGACTTGGCACAGAGGCCCATTTAAGGAGCAATCCTGGAGCAGATGAAGAAGCATGGTGCATGTAGGAGAGACAACGAGAGGATGAACCGTCTCCACAACCTCTTCCTCATTTCACTTGGCTCTTTGCTCTCTCTCTAGGCTCTTATTACTTAGATCCTCAAAAGCAGGACACCTTCACACTCGTTGTCACTGTGAAGGACATGGCAGGGATGACAACAAATGCTTTCACCAGCAGTGCTGATGTGATCATCACTGTGAAGGAGAGCCTGTGGAAAGCTCCCTCCACCATTCACCTCCAAGAAAACTCAACCACGGAGTACCCTGTTGCCATCAGCCAGGTAGGGTCCTTGGTTGCAATCCCTGCCCTTTTACTTGGTGCTGCAGAGTAATGTTGTCCCAAGCTAACTGTAAAGGTGTCCCTGCTGCTCTCAATACCAGGCTTGTCAGAGGACTTTGGCACCTCCCAGTTATTTTTTTATACAGTATTATTTGGAAATGGTCTTTAGTGCAGGTCTCATTAACTTATTGCTAGTATGTAAGTTAATGGTTTGAAGGTGATTGAGATACAGTCAAGGCAAACATTAGAGTGACTGGACTTTGCCCTGCAGTTTGGAGATACTGTTGGCAAGGCCTGTGAGTGAGAATAGCCCATGGATAGTGAAAACTTTTGGAGGATTTTGTTACAGTATAGTGACTGGATGAAAACTGATGCTTTACAAGGCTATTGGGCACAATATGAAAGATAAAGATGTTGAGACGCTCCATGGAAGCGCCCAGACATGTGGCAGTTGGGTGCCTCTGTGGAAATGCTGTTCTCATCTCCCAGTGGGTTTCTTTGAGCACTTCCAGCCTCACTCTAACACCATGGGCCCTCCAGAACAAACCAGCAGGGCTCCTCTGGACAAACCAAGAGCTAACCTGTTGAAGGTTATTTTAAGTTTAGCTTCTTCCATCCACACAAGAGCCTGGCAGGGGACCAGCCCTGCTGCAGCCCTGCTGTGGACAACTCCCCACACCCAGGGACATCTGCTGTAACCAGTTTTGGGTGATGTAGCACAGCTGCTGTATCAAAAATACCTAGGAAGGACTGAAATGTCCTCCTTCAGCATCCTGCATTCCCACAGAATTCCTCTTGTCACAATGCAAACGCAAAATATGTTGCTGATAACTGCAGACCGATAGCGATGTGTGCAGCAGCAAATATTAACTAACAGGCCAGCAGCCTTTCAGAAATGTTTGACTTTGAAAAATGCCTTGGCACTAACACCCCCAATGCCGTCATCCCTTCAATGTGGCAGGATTCCTGGGATCCTGTTTGTAAGAGTAACTGACTCGGTGCTATTCCCACTAGCCTCAGTGACAGCCTGAGGAAGTCCAGAGTGAAAACAGGTGGAAATAAAACTAACATGCAACAGTGCTCTTATTCTGGGGTCACTGGGATATAAATATCACGTGGCAGCCAATTATATGTTGCTTCCACCTAGGGGAAAATGAAATGTAGTTGCAATATATAGTATGAAACATAAAACAGTAATACTGACTCCTTCGTTGGTTTAGCAGTTAGTTTACTGCATTTCATTTGAAATCTGAAGGACCCCAATAAAGATCCTTAATCACAGACTTTGATGCATATAAAAGCATGCACACACATACATGCAGTTTGAAATGGCTGTTCATTTTGTTGTTCTGCATCTCTGAATTAGATAAACCAAAGCAACAGTAAGGAACAGACAGTGTAAGGAGCTTGAACAAATTACAGCTAGAGAAACTGAGTTAAAATGGCTTTTCTGCAACAATTCAGACAGCAGAGGTGGTTTATCAGTCTGGTTTTCTGCAGCTCACCCCAAGACCCTTCCAAACTGTTAACTTTCTGTTTTATGAACCTAACAGGAATGTAATATTTTCTGTTTGTGGTCCAGAAGTGATCCCTGTTAAATCTCAGTCTACATTTCAGACTTCCTATCCTGACTTATTTTTGTGTTTTTAGGTGCACTCAAATGAGCCAGATGTAATTTATGACCTTTTTGAAAAAGAAAAGCTGCCCAGGCTCCCATTTTCCATTGATCAGAAAGGGACTATTTATGTGACTGAACCCCTGGACAGGGAAGAAGATGATAGTGTAAGTAAACACATAAAACCTCACTGATGGGAGAGACCATAGCAGGAAGCTGGTTATTGGTGTAGGAGTAAATACAAAAAAGCTCACTAGAAAGGACAGAATGAAAAAAAAAAGAAATTAAAGCTTTTTTTCTTGTAATTTCTGTTTGGGAAGGACTTACTTGAATGAAAGCACAACTATCTACTACACTGTAACCAGGCTACAGCATTTCTCCATGGGTCTAGCAGTAGCAATCTCTGCCCAAAGTATATATATATAATGTACTGCATGGACCAACCATGGCAGGATTGCAGGTAGGCAGCAGCATTTGTGGAGGGATTGCAGGAGATCCGGATGTTTCAGATCTATTCCAGATTCTAGGAGCCTCACAGGGAGCTCTCCACAGCAGAAGCAGAGTTTAGCAGTTGCAACTGTAAAGTTACCCTGAAGTTCCCTATCTGGGGGTCCTTTAGACAGAAAACCCTCTGCTTTTGTAAGAAAATTTGGGCACAGAATAGGCCAAGGATCAGATATGCTGGAGGAATCCTATCTCTGTATGTGACAGATAAATTTACACAGTGACAAAAATGAGATATTCTTGCCTTTCTTGAATTTTTGCAAGAGCAAGTTCACAGTGCAGTGAATTATTCAGGACTTTTAAATTCTTTTGAGAACTCAGACTTCAGGAACTAAGGAGTGATGGAAGAGGACTGAATTGAACAGAGTGAAAATGCTGAACAAACATACGAAAGGATATTTCATTTGCATGGAATGCTCCCATAGTTACACATTTAAATGCAAAATAATGTCAAATATTGTCCAAATATTGTCCAAATACTGTAGATATTCAACATCTCTAATCTCGGTGTTCGTATTGCAGTATACTTTCTTTGTGGTCACAAAAGATAGCACAGGAGAACTGGTGGACAAGCCTCTGCAGATTCATGTTATCGTAGATGACATTAACGACAATCCCCCTGTGTGCCAGGAGGCTGTCACGTTAATTGAAGTTCAAGAAAATGAAGGTGGAGGTAAGAAAACCGCTTCTACTCTTTTGTAGATTCTAGTCCTGTTAGTGTTTCCAGCTGGGTGCAGGTAAAGCTAGAAATTCTGATCCCAGAGAGTGAAATGTAGCTCTCCCAATGAAACGTTTTCCTGTGCAAATAGCCCTGCTATTTTCACTTAAATAATTCATGTGGAAAGGATTTCAATAACCTGAGAAAACAGGCCCAAGACCCCTACTGAAAAAAAATGTTTTTCCATTTATAAAATAGCATTTTCCAACAACCACAGTTTTGGACAACTACTTTGAACATAACAAGAAAAACACCCCTTTTACTACTAAGACAAGAAATGCTGCCTTAAAAGTCTCATGAGTCCATGTTCCTCTCACCCAGATGCTCCTCCAGCACAATGCTTTGAACTGCAGTGGACCATTGCTGAAATCTCTTCTTAAGTCTTCACATCAGTTACTTGGTTTCAAGGCTGTTGTTACAGTCACTTCATATCAGAACACTCAGCCCAGTCCTTTCGGACTTTCCCAAGCCCAAAACAGCTTGTTGGGATGCTACAGAAAAAACTGCCAGGAGTCAAATGATTGTGTCCATTGCAGTGTTTTCCATGTGGCTGTATTTTTATTGCCCCTCTACTCTTTGGTGTCACTGTTGTCAGTGTGCACCTACAGAGGAATGGGCCCACTGCACTATCTGGCTGACTCTGGTCTCTCCGCTGCCACAGGAAGTAATATTGGCACCCTGATTGCTACGGACATGGATGAGGAGAACACCCTTAACTCTCGTTTGCAGTTCAAAATTGAAAGTCAGGTTCCTGCTGTTCCTGCGAGTAACCTGTTCTTCATTCAGCAAGACACAGGGGTTCTGCAGTTAACCAGCCGCTCGTTGAACAAGCGCATTGCATCCAACTACTCCTTGAAGGTGCTGGTGACAGATACAGGTATGTAACACCTGCTGGTACACATCAGAACAATTTTCAGCCTCTGTGCTTAGTGGGCATGAGAGGAGACGTGGAGGATTCACTGGGCAGGCAGCTGGCTGGCTCTGGCATGGTACGTCTCAAGATTCAGGGAGGTTAATCATGACTCATAATGCAAGTATGGAGGGAAACCACTGTAGGGCAGAATGTGGATAAATCGGGGAGCTTGCTGACAAGTTCTCTCATAAGAGATTTCCTTCCATGGAGGAAAAAAAATGAAGAGATCATGATTGTGGTTTCCCCCAAAAATACTTCACAGGGACTCACTGAAAAAAAATAAATAAATTAAATGCAGCTGCTCAGAGAGTCCAGATAATGTATTTTTAAAAAATTAAAATTTGAGATTAACCTTCAAAAATATTCTTGACCATTATGTAAGTTCCCAGCAGTCCTATGTGGTTCACTGAATGGAAAGGAAATTAAACTCCATATTAAAGCTGAAAGCTTTGTGCTGGACTATTCACAGTCAGGTAAAACTTGTAGATGGAGGAACTGGCAGGTAGAGAAAGCAGTGTGACATGTCTGTAAATGAAACAACATTGCTTAGGCAGATTATATGAAAACCTTGCAAAGGGAGAAGCTGGTGATTTGTTTTGGATGCTTACCTAAATTCTATCTGAACAGTTTTCTTTAGAATATTCCTTAACTTTCAGCTCATGAAGCAAGTCTGTGTAATACTAAAACCCAGCAACATATGAATAGCACACCAGCAAAGAGAGTATGCTTTTGAAATCACAAGCCCCTGTTGCTATGGGCATGCCTGCTCTGGTAGCACTTAAATTCACACAGATCTGAAGTTTAAGTCTGGCTGCAATGAAAATGAGGGTGCTACTGGATGGCCCTCTGGGAGGACAAGCAAGCATAACAACCTGGGTCTTACTGTTTGACATGCAAAAGTGATATTGACAAAGCTGACACATCATAGCTAACATAGCCCCAGTAAAGGAATATGGTTAAAAAACAGTGAGTGAAACTAAATGGAACAGGATGGGACAATTCTGAAGACACTTAGGAAAGTGAATAGTAAGACAGAGAGTGGGGTTGCTACTGACTAGGAGATATTTGAGATTAAGTACTTCTTAAACAGCAGGACTTTGCTTGGGTTGGGCAATTTGGCAGTGCTTACTTTTGCTCACAGTGAACACTTTCGGAGGAAAGTTATGTTTGGAAGAAGGGGTTGTTGTGACGTTGTTTGATCTCTTTCCATACAGTATTCCAAACAATCTGTGAAGTAGAAATACATGTCATCGACATCAATGATCAGATTCCCATCTTTGAAAAATCAGATGTAAGTATTTTTAATGCTGTACTTGATGTCCCAATAACTTTTGACAAATGTTTGATCATACATTCAGTGTCTACAGAATGTTAATGAGAAACTAACCACTTACAGAACAAGGAATGGTACAATCCACTAATGAAAATAAGACATTTCTACAAAGCCTGCATATAAGTTCCTTCTAGACAGTGAACAGTGGGACTGACTCAGTTAATTCTGAAATAAAAGGTACTTTTCTCAGTAGACAGCTATCTGTACAGAAAAAAAATATTCTATTAAAGCAGAAATGTAAGTTCTGGAGGGAAAGAGGGAAGAAAAGGGTTTTTAATTAATTAAAATAGCTAAATGTAGAAAAACTAACATCTCCCAGGTGCCCTTCCAAACACAATATGAATGTATCCAGAAAACCAGAAGGTGAATGGAAATCAAAGGCTCTATTTACTTTAACCAAAAATACTGGTCCATTGTTCCATGCCCAAATGCACACCTGCTGGCTGTGGCTCCAGAAGAGGTGTCAGACTCTCACCTCTTCTTCTGGTAGAGGTGCTGGCCTCTTCCAGAGAGGCCTGCAGAATTTCTGTAACTTCTGCTTGCTGGCCCAAACTTCCCTGGAGACACTGCAGTGGCTGGAATGGCTGCATTTACACGTCTAAGTTCCCTCTGTACCTGTGGACAATATAGGTGGTAGGCTCAGGAGAGCTGTCTGGACCATCAGGAGTAGGTGTCCTCTTGAGGAAGCTGTGTTTGTTTGCTGACTGCATTACCCAGCTCTCTGTTGATGGTAACTGGAGCTTAGACACATGGAAACTACATGCCCACATAGCAGGCTGTTGACTTGCTCATCTTAAGGTGATGGTCCAGGACCTGGTCTCAAGATGAGACTGCTGATTCAGGGCAAACATCAAACAGAGTAAATGGAGCTGGGATGCTAATGTGGCAATGGTCTATGGTGCATGAACATGGAGGGTTTCAACAGAGGAGGTAAAATTTGGGACTGTTGCTATACTAGTAGCTTACCCACTGACATAGATCCCATCATTGATAAGCGTACAGCAAAAAAGAGGGGATATAGCAACTTTGCAGAGGCTCTAGTGTCCATCTTGCAGCTCTGGGCTCCTCTGGGAAGCAAGGTAGCTCACCTGTACTGCTGCAATGCACTTCACTCATGCTTTTGTATATCTCTCTAACATAGCTACATGTCTGCTGTGAAATGCACCCCCCACTTCCCTCCCTCACATGGCTGCTGTGGGTTGAAATACATCCATGCTTGGGGGTCAGAAGCTTGTTGTTGCACTGAAGTTTTTATCCACAGATGGTGCTCGGTGTGTCATGTTTCAACAATCTCTCTCTCCTCAGTATGACAATGTGACTGTTGCAGAAAGTGTCCCAGTAGGAACAGTGATATTAGAAATTCAAGCTACAGACGGAGATGAACCTTTCACAGGGAGTTCCCACATAGTTTACCAAGTGAAGGAAGGAGATCCAAGCAACACATTCATCATAGAGACAGATCCTGAAACAAACCGAGGGTTTGTCAAGATTAACAAGGTGAATAGATTGGTTTATTCTCTTCCTTTATATATATGGATGTGTGTGCATATCTATCTATCTATGTATCTATGTATCTATGTATCTATGTATCTATGTATCTATCTATCTATCTATCTATCTATCTATCTATCTATCTATCTATATGTCATAAGCAGTAACTGCCCAGGTGAGGATTTGCAGAGGGACTGGTGCTGGCTGGTGGTGGGGTGAGGACACCCTAAGCACCATGCAGACTGCAGGAGGTCCGACCCCTGGGCTCAGGCACTGTGCTGAAGTAGACATATCCTCCTGCATTTGTTGTTCTGTATCCACCCACTGCCACCAGCAGTTCCCTCTGCTAGCTCTACTGCCAGCCCCTTCTCCAGCAGAGCAGGCTCTTGTTGATGAAGAAGGACTTTATACACCATAAAGAAAAGGTATTGCATTATTTGAGTTATTTTGCAGCAGCTTTTCTGGAAAAGAGAAAGTGAGTGAACAATTCCATGGGCTGTGGTCATGGTGGTGGGCTGCCACGGGACAGATCTTCCTCCCTGCTGGTGCTCTGGGCTGTTAGTGGCTTTTGCAATGGGAGATGCAAGTGAGACCAGCATGTCTGAACGCAGGAACGGGTTGTTTCTGCTAAGGTTAACATTAACTGTGACAAAGCCAAGGTTAATGTGTGTTGCACTGGGTGATACATCCCATATGTTGAATGCTGGAGACAGGAATACAAGGAACACTTTCTGCTGTATCCATGTATTTCAGTAGCAAAAGTGCTCTCTCTTTGAAATTAGCCATTTTGAAGGTCCTTGAACTACAGGCCCAGAAAGCCTGCCACTCATTTTCCAATGGATGATGTTGCTTGCATCCAGCTCATCCGCTGCTGGCCAGGCCAAGGGCAGGTTGATGCAATGTTTGGTGGACCATCTTCAAGCTCAACCTCAGTGTCATTTTTTCCCAAGGAAGAAATTGTGAGAAACTCTGCAGTGTAACAACCCTCGCATAACTTTTGTCACCCAGAGGTCACTCAAGGTTTTCTTGTACAGAGCTATAAATACTATTTCTGTAAACAGGATATAGTTATTAAACTTAGTCGGGCAGGTGGCAACATTATTAGCAAACACAGTTGCTGTGGAGGCCTCCAAACGGGCATATGTTTTCATTTAAATTGACTTTTCCCAGTGTCAGTTCACTCCAGACAGATCTCCCTTATTTCAGCTGTATCTGGAATGCAGTCTTCTTCTTGAGAAGAAGGGGACTTCAGGGTTTCCAGTGGGAGCTCCCCACAACAGCAGAGCCATTGCTGAAAGCACTGGTTTTTTCTTCATTATTATTTTTTTTTTTCCTGATTTATCCAGGCTCTTGATTTTGAAACACACCCAATGTACAACCTGGTGATCAATGCCACAAACCCAGAACCCTTGGTGACAGGCGTGCAGTACAACTCAAGCTCCCTTGCTTTGTTCAAAGTTTTTGTAACAAATGAGGATGAGCCACCTGTTTTCCACAAGACAGTTTACAAAGAAGAAGTGTCTGAAGACATTCCTGTCAACACCCTGCTGGTGACGGTGGAGGCCTATGATCCAGAGGGGGATGCTGTACGGTAAAAGAGAATGACCACGATTTATCTATTGAATTTAGGATTTAGATAATTGTTCTAAAAGATGCACAAGGAAAACTTGCCCAATATTTGGCACGCAGGAAAAGAGCTTTTCACAAAAGCCTCATTTCCTAGTAGAAAGTGGAGGTGTGGTGCAGCAGTGGCTGGTGACACCCCTGCAGCAGATTGCTGGGCAGTGCCTTTCATTCTGTGCTGTGACAAGCATCAGCCAGTGGGACCTTTGAACCAGGAAACTGAAAGCGAAGAAGGCTGATAGATGTCTCCAGGAAAAAGGCAGAGCTAGTCTGAGAATAAGAGGTCTTCCATATCCATAATGCCTTTGACAAATTAATGAAGGACATACCGAGTATCCCTAGGAACCAGTAGGACAGTAGCTGCTTTTCATGTCAGATGGGAACTGCACAGGGCTTGTTCTCCTCCAAAACTCACAACCTGTAGTGAAGCTCAAGTCTATAATTGACAATTATTTAATTTCTAACTGCCAAAGATAATATGCCTTTTTCAGTGAGTATGCAAAGCTCTGTTCAAGACAACTCCTATGCTTGTGAGTGGGATGCAGAACCTTAGACTGGCTCATTTGGTGGCCCAGTGCCCTGTTGTGTGGTCAAGTCACCTTGAGTGTCTGCCTGCTCACAGAGCTATGCACAGTGCTGTGCTACATGGTATAAATGTACCTTACACAGTAGGGTTGGATAGAAGAAATATTTGGGTCTCTTTCTGTGTGGTTCCAGCCAAGATGCTGAACAGATCAACCCAAAACGAACAATCCTTGAAATTTAACTAAAATTCCGCAAAACATTGAGGAGTTAATGGAGTTGCAGAATGTGACTGCTAGGCCTCCTGTGGATTTTTATTCCCAGAGGTTTCTCATCTGGCTTTCTACTCTCCCCCAGCTTTTGGGAACTTAGAGTGTTTGGCCATCTGTCAAACTGGTTTGAAAGTGAGCCACATAGTCCAGAAACTCTGGGGGATGATGACAGAGACAGATGACAGGAATTCATATTTACATAAACCACATTTCTGCTAAAAAATAGGTGAAAGGACATAAAATAAAAAGCATAAAAAGCATGCTGGTTTTGCTGCAAGGCATGCTGAAAGAACAAAAACGTTGAATGAGAAGATCAGGTCACATCTTCTCCAGCAAATGCCTGTGCTTTAACTGGATCATATGTTCATGGTTACAGTTGTACAAGTAAATACCCAGAAACTTTGAGGGTTTTTTTAAACAATAATCTAAAGGCAATTATGTGGTGATGTTTAAAGCACTCTCTGTTCCAGGGCTGCCCTGATGTTAATTGCAGGTTGCTCCAGACTGTCAGCAGATGACCAGTGTAGTCTATCTTGGGGTCCTGATCCCTTGCAGATCCAAAAAAGGGTGCCTGGCTGCACTGGTACCTCTGCTCCCATCAAACCTAAGCCATGGGAGATGTGATGGGGAGAGAGGAACATGGGGCTGGGACAGAGCACAGTTCTGGACCAAAAGCTCAGGAACACCCCAGATTCCCCAGTTAGGACAAAGGTAGAACTGCAGTACAGTGTTCCCACAGTTCTGCTCTCACTCTTTATTCTCAATGATTTTGGCCTCCCTCTGCTTGTCTGCCCTCCTGATTGGCAATAGTATTGAGACACTTCCAAGAACCTTCTCTTTGAGTAAAATTGTAATCAAGCCACTTGCTTGAAATCAATATGGAAATATTTGCTTTGTCAGCATTTTTTTTGTGACTTGGAATAATATACATGACTTTTTCTTATTTCTTTCCAAAGATACTCCTTAGAAGGTGATGTGAGGAAATGGCTGAGAATTGATTCAGCCACTGGGCAGATATACACTGCTTCCCCTTTGGATCGAGAACAGCAAGAAATATACACAGTTGATGTTGTTGCATCAGAGCTAAGTAAGTGATGAAACAACTGCACATACACACAGAGAAATCCCCAGCTCTTACTGTTTTATGAGGAATTCTCATACTTCTCCTGACAAACCCCATGAAAAATACAGGATCATGTGATATATCCTTAGAAGCATGTATTTCTGAAGAACTTAACTTTCTTGAAAGAAATCTTTATGTTCTAGATAGGAAAAATTAAAACAGCTTTCATGGTTAGCTGTCATACGCTGTTACATCTTCTTGAGCCACAAGGCATATAGAGAAGGTTAGAATTTCTTCAGTGTTTTCAGCATCAACATTTTCTGCCACTTTTTACCCCCTATAGCTATAAAGATTTTAGTCTTTCTTCTAGGTATGATTAGGCCTCCTGAAAACATACCTGAACAGTAATTTGCAACCTTGTACAGAATTTCATTTTATCATGAATACAACAAATACAGTTATTAGTCTGAAATATATCATGGCTCTTATTTCCAGCCATTAGAATCTTTCAGATAGTCTAATAGTCTGTCTGGGGAGATTTCATTATGTGAGCTGCATTGAATAGGGGATAAAAATTCTGGACTATATCTGATTGAATGAGGTATAAATCTAGGTTTCCCTTATTAAACACAGATAAACAATAATGCTGGCCACTGTTCTGGAGGACACATGTAAAGACTGTTTGTATGTCAGGAAAAAGGAGTGCTTCTGTGATCACAGGATGATTCTGCAGGAACAGGCTGAAGAAATGATAGATTTCTGAAAGCTCTTCTTGGGCCCCTTGTCTTGGTCCCAAGGCAGAAAACTGACTTGCATTTCCAATATATAGAAGAGAGATGGGAAACATAAGGAGTTCCATGCTTAAAAGTGTTCCAAAGAGCACTTGGATATGACCACTTTCTAGATATGTTAGATGTGACCACCTGCCAGATATTATTGTCTATCTGCCTCCTTTCACTTGCTAGTGCTCTGCAGTTAGCCAGTGCTGCAAGTAAATCAACCATACTTTTTAAAAAGTGGTGGCAGCTACCAGGAGATCCTCAGGGCCTGCTGAGACCTTGCCTCTGCAGCTTGCAGACAGAATATCACCTCCCATGCCTGCCTGATAGTGTACCTATACAAAAGCTGCAAGAGCTACAACCCAGTGTGTAAGTCCCAGGTGTGTGTGTGTGTAACTTTGCAATCTGTTAAACTCTGTAGATAACACAGCTCAGAAGTCCCAGGCAACCGTGGTCCTGCACTTACGTGATGTGAATGACAACCCTCCATGGATAGCTATGGATTCTCCTCCCTTCTTCTGCCACCCACTCAGTGGAGGAGAGAGAACTTTAATTCAAGCTACTGATGCTGATGAACAGTATTATTTCTCAACATTTACTTTTTCTCTTGCTGATGATATGGATACGAAAAGTAATTGGGAAGTCTCGAAAGTCAATGGTGAGTTAATAAACCTATTATTATCATTATATGGGACTCTCTAAGCATGCTGGGCATTGTAAAGAAATATTGAATTCCTTTTAATTTCTACTGCTGCATATTCAGTACTCCATGTAGAAAAAAAAATTATGTTGTTGAGAAAGTATGTGCATTTGGCATGTATTCATTAAGTCATTAGTAATATTTTTTAGATATTATATCTAGTATGTTGCAAGCTAAAATACCACTAGTACTTTTGAAAGACAAAACATGTAAAAATAAAATGTCCTCTGTGCTTAAATGGTTACAGATCACTTGTACTAAAGAAACAGAACAATCCTCAAACTGTCTATTCCTGACATTTCGTGTACAAAGGGAAGTCACGTCATGCCTCACAAACCAATTGGAGTTTTTTGAAGGGGATCAGTAAGCACATGGATAAGTCCATGATCAATAGAGCCTATCTGAAGTCCTTCAAGGATGAAATGTCCCCCTAGAGAGAGCTGGGTTCCCATGATGTGAATGGGACAAGTTTTGAAAAGATAAACTTTATAATTCAGGAGTTGGAGTAAATGGTCAGATCTTGGACTGAAGGTGTGGTTTTCCAAAGGGGATTTTGCTAGAACCTGTGCAGGTAAAAAAATGTGGGCAAAGTTTATTCATTGTAGAAAATTATTGGAGTAGGAACCAAGTGTGAAGAACTGTAGGACTTCCTTGCAAGACTGAGCTGGTTGATCAATAAAATGGCAGATTGAAATGAACCTCAGACTCTCAAACTCACATTTGAAATCATGGGTGCTGAGTCCCAAGTGAGACCCATAAACAGTTTCATGAAAACGTGAGATCAAATTATCAATAGTGTTCAGAAAAGCAGATAAAATATTGGGAATTAGTAGGAAAGGACCACAGAAGAAATCAGAGAACATCATTATGTCCCTGTATATATCCATTATTTGTTCAAATCCTTGTCTCTTCATCTTCAAAATGATGCAGCAGAACTGGAAAGAGGTTGAGATAGGGAGACAAGGATAATCAGATTTCTGGAGTAGCCCAGTGTAAGGAAGTGTATAGATGCAGCAAAGTAAGATAATATTTGTTAGTTTGAAAGAGAGTAGGGAAAAAAATACAATACAGGTCTGTAAAACAACAAACACTATGGTCAGGGTGGCCAGAGGTTTATTTTTTGCAGTCTCTTCCAGTACAAAATCCCAGGAGCCTCAAATTAAGCTTATGGGAGTTATTTCCAGTGCAGATAGAAGAAGGAGTGACTGTGGAATTCATTGCCACAGCATGTTGTGTATGTGGAAAGTTTCTACAAGTTCAAAGTAGGAAATTACATTTTGCTTAAGAAGCCCCTGAGCTGAAAATAATTACAGGTTGGGAGAACATTACGAGAAAATAACTTCAATGCTTGCTTTCTTATTATAATCTCCCCTTATTCTAGAGACAAGATACTGACATGGATAGACCTCTGGTCTGATCCCCATGGCTGTTACAGTCTTTTCCAAGTTTTAAAGTGTCTCAGATGTGATAGTGCAAGTGTGCTAGGAGGATGGTCTCTCCTACTAAGATGTCTTGGGAAGAATTTAAGTTGGTTCAGTGAGTAGAGGGTCATATTCTTGGTTTAGGTCTGATGCTATCAGTGCAGCACCACCCAAAATCATATTTGGCCTGCTGTGGAAATTAGGAAGAAAATTATCTGACCACACTATGCTGAAATCCAGACTAGGCATTCAGATGGCCTTTTTTGACTTAATGCCCACAAGCTAATGAGACCTGGGAAGACATGGGGGAAAACAAGAACTTCCATCACATGAAAAGCAGCCTTAAAAAAAGAACATTTGCAGTTGTTATGAATGTTGAGCTAGATTTCTTTCTTGTGCTGACATGAATGTCCCATTTCCTACTTGCAGCTACTCATGCTTACCTCTCTCCAAAACATACTAACTTTGAAGAGAAGGTGTATTATGTTCCAGTAATAATTAATGACAATGGAAAACCGCCTTTGGAAAACAGAGTGCATCTTGAAGGTATATTATGCATAGAATTATTCATTTCAAGACAACAGTTATGAATAATCAAACTGGACTACTAAACTACTCATTAACCTCATGGCTTTTCTTTTTGCAGTCAACTTCTGCAAGTGTTCAAGTGAAAACTCATGTTTTATCGAAGTAGATCGTCAGCACTACTGGCCAACTGTTGGCCAGGCAGTTGGGATTCTTTTTGGGGTCCTGCTCATCATTGGTACGTCACTTTTTCTTGGTTTATATGAACACAGGTCTCCAAGATATGATGGTGCTGTTGCATTTCTGACACTGATTCACTTGTTGGGTGAGGAGATATCATCTAAGTTGCAGAATGAGCAGAAGAGTGAGGTCTCATTATGTGCATCATAATGGTTGCAAACCTGTAAGTTTTTGGTCATAGGAATAGCTTTCTTTGGACTGTGCTTCTGCATGCACATACAATGGGACAGCAAGCAGCTATGACAGAAGGAAATGCTGCACTTACAGCAGATTGTCACTTCATTGCTACCTACTGCTTTTTTTCCTGTCAGGGAAGGGATTGGAGCCTTGTCTTTGGCTTCCAGATTCTAGTGAAAATAGTGATACTAAGGGATATCGTGATTACAGTGTCTGTACCTATAGCTTACAGTTATGACTTTATTGACTTATTTCAGCTTCATAGGTTTCCACTTTTCAGCTGGAGAACTGCTTTGTGGGAAACTGGCACTTATATGAAGTGGCAGTGAACAGTATTACGTCCTTTGTACCAATTGCCTCAATAAATGCAGAAAACTGTATCCACCACCTTTCCTTCATCCACTAAGCAGGTGACCTTATCATAAAAGGATATCAAATTAGTTAAATAGGACTTTCCCTTTGTAAACCCATGCTGTCTGTAACTGATGACTACATAACTCCCAATATCATCTTCTCCATAATTTTTCCAGGAACTGAGGTTGGACTAACAGGTCTGTAGTTCCCTGGGTCTTCCCTCATGCCCTTTTTGTAGGCTGGAATAACATTGCCTAGCTTTCAGGCAGCAAGGAGCTCCCCAGACTCCTAAGACCTTCGGCAGATGATAGAGAGGTGTCCTGCCATAAGTCCTCTAGCTCCTTCAGTATTCCCTTTATTAGTGTAAGGGGGGAGGAGATGGCATCCAGTGCACTAGGAAGTGAAGAGCAAGAAGAATTAAGTGCTCAGTCCTGTTTTGAACGGGATGGTGACAAGAGCCAGACTGGGAAACTGTGACTCAGCTGTAGAGAAGGGAGGGAGTGTGAAAGACCCATGGAGAAAATCAAAGAAAAGGGATTAAATACACAGCAGACCTCATATTCAAAATAGTTGGATTAAATTAGAGCATAAAATGAAGAAAACCCAAGAACTTACGTAAGTTACCGTTACTTCAATTCTAAAAGAAAAGAGAATGAACTACCAAGAGCAAAGCTGTTTGCTTCTGTTCAAGAGGTAAAGCAGTATTGATATTACAGTGTGGGTGTCAGGTCCAGTTCAGGAAGTCTTCCTTCCTCTTACTGAAGAGTGTTCTCTGTTTTTCAGGTTTAATTGTAGGAGGTGTGTTTCTTCACATGAAATACAAGGAGAAAAATGAACAGACAAGCCATCAGAAAGACGCAATGGATAAGTCTGAACTCAATAGACTCGCCTAAGGACTGTTTCATCAAGAGACAAACATGCCCTTTGGATTGGGAAGGAGTGGGCTTTGTAGCTGCCAAAGCCCAGAAATGTACTATCACAAACTGAGGACACAAACATCCGAAAGTAAACTCCCTCGGTTTTGGCCTCACTTTTTGTAGATAATGCTATTCCGTCACAAAACAAAAAATGTGGGTTCACTTCAGCAGCAGCCATTAATAAGAACATCAGCTTTGACTGAAATGTTGACTCATGACAACACCAGATGCTGAGCTCCTGCAAGGATCAATACATGGGACCAGCCTTCTTTCTTTGGCAGCTCAAGTAAATGCAGGTTTTCTAGATGACGTTTTATCTAACTGCACATTTGCCTCTTTCCATGTCAGTAAGTTACTGAATAGCAGAAAGGGGAAAAGTCCCATGTTACATTTGAAGATGTCCCACGAAGTCTCTGACTCTCAGCAAAGGAGCAAACCAGTTTGTGAAGCACCATGGCCTTTCATTACAGTCTCTGAGTTAAAAAATACATGCTGAGTCATATGGAATTGGGTAATGTGCTCTTTCATCATCCTGCTGCAAATATTCTTCTTGCCCCCTAAACATTAGATAAGAATAAAATGTTCTTTACAGTTTTCAGTGTGTGCTTTTTTATTTATATAAAAAAGGAGAGTGCATGAGAGCAAACAATTACTGCTTGGTTATGTGTTGTATCTAACCCTCACTTTTGTATAATTTAGACTAAAAATGGCTCTCAGGTGAGATCGATACATCTGGCTGCTCCAAGATGCAATGATTGCTAAAGACTTGTATCTTAGCTTCAGTAAAATGTATTTGAGCTTGGGATGACACTTTGAAAAGGAAAGCCTTCCTCCTGACAGCATGCCTATAGAAGGGCATTTCTGGTGACAGTTTGAGGGAGGCTTTTCTTTTAAGCTATAAATAAAAGATGACAAATATTGTGTTAAACTGAAAAGACAATATACTTTTTAAGACACTGAAGAAAAGGTCATATGGAAAAGCCTATGTTTGTTTACGCAGGGGTATTTTAATAGCTTTTGCATGCAGCACAGAACTAGGGAAAAAAAAAAAAAGAAGCACTTTTTTTGGTAGAATTGCATTATAATAGGTTTTCCTAGAATGCTGCCAGCAAAAACTTTGCTTTTGGGCTTCAGCAACACAACCCAATTGTTGTACCTCTTTTCCCAGCTTCCCCAGCTGTTGGAGCTCTGGTATTTGCTGTGGGGCTCACTGCTGGAATGTATTTATTTTATGAAGGGAATGCAATCCATTATATTTGGAAAGTATGACATTCAGTTACGTCACGGTATCCAGGGATGGGGATTAGTATATTGTTTTATAAATAAAGGAGCCAAAGTTCAGGAGTCGTTGTACTTGTGTGCACCAATACGGCCTTATCTGAGGATGGGGAAAATGTGCAGAATTTCCACTTTATCTCCCTTATCTGTCTTTCTGTTTGCTATTTTTACCCAAACTCCTATTTTACCTGAAATCTCCTATTTTCACCAATTTCTTTATTGGAGAAGGGTCAGAAATTTCTTGTCTTATTTACCTACATTCATGGCTGAGTCGATAGTAAGACCTTATCCCTTTCCTCAGCCTACAGATGCACGGCTGTAATTTCTTGTATTTCATGGGGTAATTCCACTGCTCTGAGACTGGTAGACACCAGAACTTCTAGGACAAACAGAGAAGTTCCACATCCTCAGGGCCTGACCATGTTTTCAGTCTTGAAAATTCTAATTCTCTGTGAATTGAGAGTCATGCCTCCTGCAGGCATTAACCTACAGGTTTGTGTGTGGTAGGAGAGGTTGGAATGAAACTGCCTCAGGGTGCTCCCTCTGAGGTGGCTGCCCTGGTGAGGATCTCCAGGGGCTGAGCACATTTTCCCTTGCTGTTGCAATGACCCCCTGATAGCCCCTGCTCCTTCCAGGGCCTGCAGAACCCTGACCACCTTCACCCCAACCTGCATCCCCTTCCCCACCTGCCCAAAGGCCCCTGCACTTGAAAGATGTGTCATGTTCATGCTTCCCTTCCAACCCTGCCACAAATATTCTCATTTCCTTCACCCTCCTACTGCCTGTCTGCCTGCCAGGAGTTCCCTCCCCCCGCCCCAGCCCTTCAGGGATTTATTTAAACCAGTCCTGCTCTGGCTCCTCCAGTGGTTCAGTCTCTTTTGGGAGCCAGACAAAAGCTCTCACCCAGCCTTAATCCTTCCTCTGCAGCAGACTGCTGCCCCACTGCTGCCCCCGGCCTCCTTTCCAGAGGACAAATTCAGCTTTGCCTAGGTCTCTGGAGAGGAAGAGAAGAAATACGTATATTGTTCCTTCCCACCATGTTTTCCATATGCCTCAGCTTGTTCCCAGGTCCTCACAGGAGCAGCAGATACTGGAATGTTTTGTTCTTGTACATTACATTTTGCTCTGAATCCAAGTTTTAAAGGACGAGCACTTCTTTTTTTAGTTCCTCAAATTGCTGTCGATGTCTGTTGGCCACTGAATCCTTCAAAGTAGGTTCCCTGGCACGTCTTGTTAAGACTTAAAAACACATAAACTGCACTTTACAAACAAAAGTGCAAAGATGCAGACAGCACTGAAAAAAGAATTTAGCACAAACCAAAACAATAGTTTTCTGAAAACTGACATTGTGAGTTTTTTCAAACAACTTTGAAATATTGGCTTATATAAGTCTTTTAATTCTTGAATAATAGCTATGGCACACCAATACTATTTGCACATATACAGGATTTGCTACAAAGAAGCTAGCAAGGTCTGCAAGCATTACAAATGAATTACTGCTTTAAGTGTGTGATACTTCAAAAAAAATAGCAGAGACATTAAAACTCTCCTACTTAACAGCCACAAAATGCTAGGACAACTTTATACATCAATGTATGCAAAAGGAGAATATTAAAAAACAGTGCTGATGGCTTGGGACTCCAGTTACAAACTTCCTGCCAAGAACAATATCACACAAGAATTCCAGTGATGAAATCTGCTGAGAATATGTCCTCTGCCATTGTTCCTTTCCATGGCTCCTCCTCCAAGCACATAACATCTCATTACCAGTTTCACAGAGAGCAAAAGATGTTTCAGTGCTTTCTCATTTTTTTCACAAGATTAGAGAGTTATCAGGGGATGGATTATCTCCAGGAATAATGACTTACATTAATTAAACTGTCATTATGCTTGTTTTTCAACTCTTTTGTAAATACCAACTTGAAAAGTATGAACAAGATTTTTATCTGGGTTTATAGAAAAAAAGCCACAGAATGGCAGCTCCTGGGGGAAAAAACAGTGACCTTAATCCATGTTTTGAAGTACAGTTCATCAGCTCTGCTCACACGATCTAACACTTGAGGCTGTATCCACCACACACAGCTACTGCTTTGCCTGTCAACGGGGGTCAAGCCCAGGCAACCCCCAGTGGCATGGCCATGGGTAGGCTGTGGTTCCAGCAGTACAGCTGGGACTGCCGTGTCACCCAGACAGCTGCAGCCACTAACACTAATATCTGGACCTGGGGAGTGAAGGGAGAAGTGTGGCTTCACTCCTAAAACATCTTTGTAATGAGCTGTAGGCAAGCATCATGAGTTACCACTTCTTCCAAACACCAGAGATTTTGTGCCCACTCTCTAAATGTAATTTCAAAGGCATTCAACCCCTCAGAGAAGTCCTGCTTCCCTGTTGGCTGGCTCCAGACCTTGAATGGAGGACCCAGATATTTGCAGATTAAAATACAAGACAAAGCCCTAGAGTTACAGGTTGCTGCAACAGCAAGGGAACATCCTCTGTAGACAGAGCTTAGAGAAGAGAGGCACCACAGCCTGTGACCAAAGGGTTACAAGGTATATAGGTACATGAGCACCCATTAGTGTGGTAAAATACCAGGGAAATGTTCAGACAGACAGCATCATCATGTTAAGGATCCTAAGCCAGGAAAAACACTTCCAGTCACTTAACTGCGTATTCCTAAAGCAAAACAGAAGATTAAAAGCGAACCAGTGGCAGATCTTTGAACTCATTGCTGAACAGCATGTTCCTCCCCTGGTAGTGAAAGATTGGACCATGCAGGGAGATGAACTACTGGAGTCTGCTCTGTTTACAGCTTAGGGGCCACAGATAGGCAACGGGTACAGCTGCAAAAGTGTGTTATGCCACAGATGAGCTCAAAGGGAAGAAGTGTCACATGTTTGCAGCTGGGAAGATGACAACCATAATTGCCATGAGCTGCATGCGTACTAACATCCAGTTCATCCAGTTAAGATATCAATATCATAAGTGGACTCACCTGGTCATTCCTGAACCATTCCATAAGGCATACGTTAATGCTGAATATGGTCAAGAAATGTGTTTCCACAACCTGCTTCTCCACTGTATTGCTCCTCAGGACTAACATTTAACTTGGAAATCATCTAAGTAAGTGCAAGTCTAGCACACTATCCCTGGTTCTCAGAACAGAGCAGGAAGAGTAGATATCCCTGGTTCTCAGAACAGAGCAGGAAGAGCTGGGGAAGAAGTTTCTAGGAAGAGTTTCTAGCTGGAAGCTAGAAACCAGGGATGCTCTTTGGTGCAATAATTTCATTGTCAAGTGAAGAGCTGGGGCTGATGTCCAGTTGCTAACAGTCAGCACAGGCACACCTTCAGCTGTATCTCCACCTGCCAGAAATGGACGCTTTGAAGATTTCACACCCCCAATTTTTCACTGTAGAACTGCATTCCCTATATGTAACTATTTCTCTTGCTAGGCAAAGCTCAAGTGACACAACAGCTGAGCCACGGGACATTTCCTCATGTGAGAGTGACATGGTTTATTGCACCCCCCTGTGCAGCGCAGTGAACTCACACGCACCGCTTCTCCCTTCCTGGCAAAGTGCCTTGTCTCTCCTCACCCAGCACGAAAAGAAGCCATGGTGGGGGGGCAGTGGAGGACTTATCAGTGCCAGAGCAGAGCCTGTAAAGATTTACTGACTTGATTTACCTGAGTTACAACTCAA